AAGAAGAGAAGGAGAAGGAGAAAGGGGAAAAGGAGATTCCTCACCTCCTCGACCACCGCCGGAGCTTTTCCTGCCGCCTGAAGACGCCGGAACTCTGCCGGATTTTCAGGAAATGCAGGAACATCCACATGATGCTAAAATCCTTCCCAATTAAGAACAGAGTTCCCTCCTGACGCCGAAACTCCGCCCAAGTGAAGCCGAAGTTCTCCTCTGCCACCAAAGACGTCAGACTTCTACCCGACGTCGGATCTTCACTCTTCGCTAAGTTTCTATCCGACGCCGGACTTCTACCGGTTATCGGACTTCGTTGGACGTCTATGCGAAGATGCATTTCTTTCCATTGCTGGACTTCTACCTGAAGCTGTCCTACTGATCTTCGTCGTCAGACTACAGTCCTTCTGACCTCCGTCGCCAGCCGACTACGGTCCTCCTGACTTACGTCGCCCGTCGACTACAGTCTTTCCGACATCCATCGCCCGTTGAATACGTTCCTCCTGACTTATGTCGCCCCCCGACTACAATCTTTCCGACCTTCGTCTCCCGCCAACTACGGTCCTCCTGACTTATGTCACTCGCCGACTGCAGTCCTCTGTCGCCAGCTGATTACGGTCCTCCTGACCTACGTCGCCCGCCGACTGCAGTCCTTCTAACAAAGCGAACATGTCAATAGTGATTCTTTGTATTTACATCATGTAATGTACTCCATAAGATGTACATCAAGCTAAGACCTTCCACCAAGGAAGGGCCTCATTTGTAATCGACTGCAATACTAGTGGATTCATTCAAACTGGGCTAGGCCCCGTGGTTTTTCCCCCTTTTACAGGGGTTTTCCACGTAAAAATCTTGGTGTCTCATAAATGCTAGACCCTCTCCTCTTATCTGATTGCGTGCCGGATTTTTGTACAATGCTAAGACGGTAAAATTTATATTTCTCTACTGCCGCGAATACTCCTGGACGCAACAAAACTAAAACTTTTATTTTTTTTATTCTGTTAATTTAAAAGTAATATCAATATTTTTCAAACCATATTTGTTATAAAATCAAATCATTTATCTTCAAAATTATTCTATTTAATTTGTTTTGGGCCAAAAAGAGAATAAGAGAAAAAGAGATGAAGAAGAGATGTTTGGATTTAGAGATATAAGAGCCAAATTCTTCTATTGGACCGCTTGTGAATATTATTCAACGCAGGGTTATCCTACTTTAAATTTCAATTTTATGACTCTTGTGTCAATCATTTGTATTTTATTTTATTAGATTTTGCACAACTCATATCTACGAATATTAAGAAACTTTTCAGTATATATAACTTTAGTATTCTGTAGAATAAATTTTTTTAATTATATTAGCATATATAATTAAATGTTTACCATTTTTTTTAATTGTATGATATTTTTTTAAGTATTTTAAAGAGTATATTGACATTGATCAAAGTTAGATATATTTATACATGTTGAAAGCACTGATTTTCTATGTCCTTATGTCTAAAAGTGTGCAAAAAAAAGAGGAATATGCAGATGTCTAGTTGTTGATGTTTCACGTACATTAATCAAGTGGAGATATAAGGGTGTGTGCACCAATAGGATTGGCCGTTTGTGCATTTGATATATTGGAACAAATGTGATATGATCAAGTTGAGGTACAAGTGAAGTATAAGTGGAAATAGAGGTAAGGGCAAAAAGGAAAATGTATATAATTGAAGGCATAAGAGGTGCAGGAAAAATATGAAATGCTTTGAGATGAAATGTTAAATATTAATTTCTTTCGTGTAATTTCATTTGTTGCATCACGTTTAAATAAAATTTAATATTGTTATTTATGACATATGCATATGTTTATATTAGTTCCATAATGATAGAAAGTTGATAAATATAAAATGCAAATAGATATCATGTTAGTTCACTAAAAAAATATTTTAATATTCATACGATGTTATACTAGCATACATATTATTTTATATGCTTAGATTGAACCCTACAACAAAATTCTAGTGACTTACTAAGGAAATGTTGCTCGCCCTTACTTTACTTGCATGTATTATTTTTATGAAAGGAGAAGACCCGAGTTGTGTGACGACTACTGATAGCTATTAGGATCCTAATTATATGCATGCTTATTTTATAGACTTAATGTTTTAACAATCATAGTGAGTTATGTGGCGGCTATTGATAGCTATTAATATTATTATTTAAGTTATTCGATGATATAGAAATGTTTTGTGCTTGCAAATATTGAAGAAAAAAAGAGAAAAAGAAAAAAAAAATCTTCTAAATAGATATTGAGGCATTATACAATCAACTATAGAGATATCGAAGGGAGGATATGTCGGTCTTTGATGTTCTTGAAGGTGAGTCAATTGACTAATAGATCATCTATCAGATCCAACAAATCTGAAAAGTATATATGTTTATCATATGTGTACTCCCAATTTGATATGACAATTGAGAAATGAGACATTGCACATACATTTTTAATAAGTAATCACATGAACTTGCATTGTAAGGTGATATTTCATTTGTTAGGATTTATGAAATATTGACATATGTTTTTTTTTTTTGTTTTTTTGTTTGTTTTGAGACCAACTCTTAATTCAGACATTTGTATTTGAGCTCATATTAATACCTTATTATATCTATTTTTTCAAGCACAAACATTAATGCTCATTAGTGTCTTAGGCATGAATTTCACATAAGCACACATTCTTGATAATGCAATGCGTTTCTTTAGAATGCATGATAATACACCCAATATAACATATTATACAGGGGCGCATGTGAGTCGAGCCGACTTGTGAGTCGGCTCGAGCTCGACTTGTTAACGAGTTTGTGAGTTGAGCTTATCAAGCCACGAGTTCAAGCTAGAGCCTATACCCGAGCTCAAGCATGACCAAGCTCGAAAGCTCATCAAGCCGTTCGATTAAATTAGAATGTATTTAATAATTAATTTAAATTAGTATTATATAATATATATTTAATAATTTTATGTCAAAAAATTAAAATTTTTTAAAAAATAAAAAAAATAATTCAAAACTTAAAAGTCGAACTCAACAATTAAGCCGTGCTCTAGCAATTGAGTCGAGCTCAAGCTTAATAAATAACAACTAAATAAACTTAGCTCTATTAGACATATACTCCAGTGGACCCGTTTACATTAAGTTAGGATTCCCGCAATTATTTACAAATGAAAAATAGGCGGTAAACTTTATCCGAGTGGTGGGCCCACCAGGGCCACCCCCATGACCACAGCCAATCAAATTGCCGATTTTTGTTTCATCCGGATAATTGTATGATAACGATCTTAAAAAAAAAGTAATAATTAAATAAGAGAGAGTTTCACAGTATTTGAAAATACAGTAATTTATTTCGAATAAAAAAAAAATTATAAAATCTGGACGAGCACTTCAAACTGCTCGTTTATAACCTAAAAAATATGCTTAAAATTTTCCGTAAAAAATATGCTCCACAATTAATAGCGGACTGAAAGGACGAGTGAACGAAAGCCCTTCCAAATTCCAATCCATGGCTTCCTCTCTCTCACTGTTGACTTCTTTACCTAAGCCGTCATTTCCGCCTTCTATCTCATCCAATCATCATCGACGGCGGATCTCCTTCGTCCGTTCTTCACTCTCTACCCAGCCCTTGGTGGCCGGCCCCGATGACCTCGTCTCCACCATTCTATCCAAGGTCTCTCTCTCTCTCTCTCTCTCTCTCTCTCTAGCAGCGAACAAGCTGAAAAATAGTTAGGGTTTGCTTGCAGTCATTGTCAAAGTATAACATTGAAATAATCTGCATTTTAGTTTTAATCGTGACTGTCTTTTTATAATGTCCTGACGTCAATCTGCAATTGAGAACTACTTTATTGATCATCAGATGTACTTTCTTATGTAAAATCACTACAATATCTTTATGATAGAAAGTTAGATTGATTAACATGAGAGTTCGAACAATTTTTTTTTAAAATAAATTTTCGTCATATCATATATAGAACATGTCTCATATTAATATGCTTTGAAATACGGCTAATTATTTTTTGGTGTAGTTTTAATTAGGATTTAATCAACATTGAGGGGTCTGTTTGATTGTATGTAGGATTTTATTCAATCAGAATTTAGTAAATCCTGTTAATCCATTTTAGTAAATCCTAACAGTGTTAAACATTGAAAACTTGGCATGGTATTAGGAAGGTTTGAGTAATGACATAATTTTTTGATTGAGATATTATGAAAGAAATGTGCAAGGATTTGCGAGTGAGATTTCCAATTTCAAAAGCCTACAAAATGGGAGTCTGCAAGATGAGAGGCTAATTAAGTACAATAATTGAGCATTATTTTCTTACATTTATTCCTTTACATGCCCCCCTTAAGATATAGCTCTGTTTGGGAGTCCAATATTGATGTTCAATGTAGAGAAGCAAGTAGGTTTGTAATCGAGTCAAGTTGAGCCTAGTCAAGCACATCATGAGTTGCACTTTCCTTAGGCATATTATAAAATTTTCATGTTTGGCTCAAGCTCGAACCAAGCTTTCAAATATATGTCCATAATTTTCTTTTCTAAATTAATCGAACTAGCATTTAAATGAGCTAGTAAAAATTATAAATATCAAACCTAGCAGCAAACTCCAAGAGATTCTACACAAAAATAGATTTTTATTGATAGAAAACCAAATACGAATAAAGCAAGTTACAATGGTCCTCTTACCGCGCGGGTCTTACTCAATACCGCGCGGGCCGACGACTTGACCCGGGATTGCTATGTTCGCGTATTGCTCGGTATTGCTCTAGGTATTGCTCGGTATTGCTAGGTATTGCTAGGTATTGCTTGGTAATAATGAAAAATATCGCTCTGTGAAGACCAATGCCGAGCAATACCGAGAAATACCGAGCAATACCGAGCAATACCAAGAAAAACTCGATATTGCTCGGTATTGCTCGGTATTACTCGGTATTGCTCAGTATTGCTCGGTATTGGTCTTCACAAAATGGTATTTCTCGTTATTGCCGAGCAAAATCGACCAATACCGTGCAATACCTAGCAGCACGCGAACATAGCAATCTCGTCTCCATTCCGGGCCGGGGTTGTCGGACCGCGCGGTAAATAGTGAGAACACGTGGCACTATTTTACTGGCGTCCGAACGTCGAGCTATGTCAGGTGACCAGACCAAATAAAAAAAGAGGATTGTCTCTCCTAAACCCTAGATGCTACTAAGATCCCTCACTGAAAGAAAACTAATCAAATTAGCTCTCTAAACATAACATAAATCCTACTACTTATAGCAAACAATAAAATAACAAATTCCAAAATAGCCCTCCCCCACCAATTCCCTCTCAAATCAGCCCCTAACTCAGCCCCCAAATCAGCCCTCTCTAATTAGGAAACATCTCTTAATTAATCTCCTCCAATTCAACCCACAAATCTGCCCTATTTAATAAGGAAATATCTCCTAATTAATCTTCCTCAAATCAGCCCCCAAATTGGCCATATTTAATTAGGAAACATCTTTAATTCCCTCCTTAATTACTCTCCTAACATAATAATTTATTATATTTTTGGGCCCTACAAGAGAGGCTGAAATCTTCCTGGATTTGGTTTCAAGTTCCACCCCTCCACCGCCTGCTGAGCCGGCCAATCCGACCTCCTTTGGCCTGCAACTGTAACAATACTTCCCTCCCAAAGACGCACATTGTCCTCAAGGTGGAATGATGAGATGTTGTTCATGGCTTTCTTCAGCTGTTCAGTTAGTGTCCATGCTATCATCCACTGGAACCAAGCTAGAGTTTTCCCCTACGAACATAGCCATACATCCGTAAACTTCTCCTCTTCATTCACCCCATTCACCATGAAATACATCTTCCCCTGATACACCCACCCATAGACATCCTCTCCTTTAAATATTGACATCATCAACTTTCTCACCCTACCCCAGGATCGCTACCACCCCAATAACTTCTTCTGCTTCCAATGATGCTGTTGTTATGATCCCTCCATGTTTCCCCCGTGTATCGAGGGTGGGACTCCCATCTTTCTTCCATCCGTTCTTGCATGACATGATCCCATGGTTCAACTTGTTTCCCTCCATCTCCAGTCGGCCACTCCCCTTGACCAAAATGCCTCCCATAATTGTCAGTTACTCTACCACCTCCACCACACAATTCCCTCCTTATTGTCTTCTATTCTAGAAAACAATAACAAACTCCAAGATATTCAACAAAATGATAAAATTATATTGATAGAAAATCAACTACGAACAAATAAGATACATTTATCTTGCAAACCCAAGACACTGCTAGGATCCCTCACAAAAAGAAAATCACAACACTCTTAAATCATGTTCTCCCTCCAAACATAACATAAATCTACTAATAGCAAACAATAAAACAACAAATTCCAAAATAGCCCTCTTCCAATTCCCTCTCAAATCAGTCCCTAACTCAGCCCCAAAATCAACCCTCTCCAATTAGGAAATATCTCATAATTAATCTCCTCTAATTCAACCCCCAAATATGCCCTCTTTAATTAGGAAATATCTCATAATTAATCTTTCTCAAATCAGCCCCCAAATTAGTCCTATTTAATTAGGAAATAATCTTAATACCTTCCTTAATTACTTTCATAACATAATGATTTATTGCTTTGTTGGTCCCACAAGAGAGGTTGAAATCTCCCTGCATTTAGTTTCAGGTTCCTTCCCCTCCACCGCCTGCTGGGCCGGCCGGTCCAGTCTCCCTTGGCCTGCAGCCGTAACAAATATTTTGTTTCTTAGCTCTCCAAAAGATGAAGGTCTAACTAAGATACATGATCTGGGCAATTGTAGAAGTTTAGTCAGTTTTGACTTGATCTGTTGACATTAGAGAATGCATGAATTTTGAAATGAAGAGTCATGAATAAGAATATTGCGATCAATAGTGCCAAATAAAAATTGTAAGTCATTTTATTACAGTTCAACGATTATAAGTGGGGTGGTGCTAAAATCGAGGCAGTTTTTCTTTTTAAATAAATTGATGCAGTTTGTTAACTATAAATGCTATGTTTAGGTGTGTATGAGATAAGTATTGTAAACTTCCCACAAAACCTTTGTAGTTTGTTGGATTATAGAACGCATCACAAGAGTGAAAAGTGAGTGTTGGTGAGGCATCAAACGAGTCATCACAAGAGGGGCATCCGCATTTTATTCAAATTACACTTCGAAGGAGCATTTAGTTCCAGAGGTATAGTGATAAATTGCTTCCTATTTCTTTTCCATAAGAATTTAAATGAAATCTATCCATTGTTTGAATCAAATTACGTTACCTTATTGATGACTAGACGTAATTATACAATTGCTTGTAGGTTAAGGGGACAGATCGAGGAGTTCTGCTTTCAAAAGATGGCCATAGAGAGGTATCGGATGTTGCACAAAAGCTGCAAAAGTACTGCGTTAGTGAGCCTGTTAAATGCCCTTTGATATTTGGAGGTAAACCAAGAAAGGGTTCTTTTTTACTTTCACAAATATGATTTGTATGGTCTTTTGACAAATAATGCTAGAGCCATTTGATTGGTTGATGAGTATCTGATCTTGAACTTCATGATTTAACATGAAGTAGTCCTCCAGAATCAACTTGATACTATAGTTCAGTTTTATTATGAATACAATCATAACAAAATGACTCTAACCTAATGATGTCAAAAAATTTTAGCGCGGGGGGTGATTTAACATGTCTAAAAGATGAAAAAATTATTCTCACCCTGCAGAAGCCTACTTTTGCGCTCATTCTAACAAAATATAATTTGCTTTGGGAGGTATCAGCTAATGGGAAAATGGTTGCCTTAGATGGTTTGGTTATATAAAATGGCGGCCTTCTGATGTCCCTGTTAGGAGAGTAGATTTATTAGATTTGGCCTATGTTAAAAAAGATAGATGTTAGAGGTAGACCTAAAAAGACTTTGCTAGAAATTATTAGAAATGACATTTCTTTATTAGATTTAAATGAGAATTTGACTCTTAACAGGACACAATGGAGAAAAATAATTCATGTAGTCAACCCCTCGTAGTGGGATAAAGGCTTGATGTTGTTGTTGTTGTGAGGTATCAACTAATGGGCCAGCCTCTAGAATTACAAAAAATGACCTTCCATTTCCACCAATAGAGAGAAGTAGACTGTCGTATATATCAACGGTTGAGCCCAAAGGAAAGGAGAGTCTCTTGAAAAGCTCGACATATCCACATCTTGTAAATACTTATCCTGAAAATACTACTTCTCCCGTTTATGTGAACTCCAACTTTGCATCCATTCCTCCATCATATTTTGCAGCAAGAACATCCTGAAAGTAAGTTCCCTGGTGAACTTCCCACCCATCTAAAGATTTAGATGATTTAAATTTAGCTAGCAGAATTTTCCTCTTATTGTTTTTTCCAGCCCTTAATTGTGCTAATTTATTGTTATAATTTTGAAATGCCTTGGTGATATTGTATAGTCCTCGGTAGTCCACCCTGTAGAGGTTTGCAGTTATAAGAGAGTGAGTTGTGGCTCAATAAATGATCTTTTTGCATCCTTTTATGGCAGTCTTCGAAGTTGAAGGTTCACCAACATCACCAAGCACAATGTTTACTGATCTGGGAATCTTATCTATCACTTATAAATCAGCTTTCCTGACCAAAGCCTTATGCTCGGGGTTGGTTCCTCTCTTCCTCAGTTCTCGTATTTCATTTGACATCTTCCTTTTATACCTTACCTCAACAAATCCATTACCATTAGTAGAAGCTTCAATGTAGGGCTGATTAAAAACCCTGACAATGCCACTCCGTAGAGGAGCATCGAGATCATCCTCAAGAAGCCCATTCTTCTTTAAAAATTTGATGAATAGTATTTTCTTACAAGAATTGTTCTATAGTAAGAAGAACCGTTGTCTAATTCTTGGATCCTTATCTCTTAGGCCCAACATATATTGTACAGGAGGAATGTAATGAGATCAATGTCATAATCATGTCAAGATGATGTCAAGAGGATCAAGAAGTGTTGATTAGCATGAAACTTGTCATTAAAAGAAAACCTTAGGGCTACATGCAGACTCCTTCCTATGAGAGCTTAAAGAGGGGATGAAGTTGTGGCTTGTAAAGTGATGATATAGGCTTGGTGGAGGCCAACTTGGGGAAAGTGATCAGCATCATCATTGCAGAGAATCTAGTTAGCGAAAAATAGAGCTTTAAATTACTTAAATTACTTAATTCTGATAGGAGGATAGGAGGATAGGAGCATAGGAGGACAAAAATATCTGTTAACAATATTAAGTAGTAGTTACAAATATTTCTAGTGATGGGATTTAAGAGAAATGATGTGCTAATATATTTGATTTTAAAGCTTAGTAACAAATGATATTTATAGATATCTATTTAATTAACAAAGAAAATAAAAACATTACATTAAAAATTCAAACCTAGGCTAAAAGTAGGTACTACTTTGAAAATGTCTACAAAAAATGGATAATTTCTAACTAAAAGTGATAATCCATGAATTTCAAATTCAAATTCATCATCCTTCAATAGTGGAGGAATTTCCAATGCATAACTTGATTTGTGGATTGAAATTCGAGTGTTATTTTTTTATTTCCTTGAATCTCTTAGTGGCTGACCACTTCTTTCTCAGTGGTTCAATTAAAACTTTGAATCTCTTTCTTTATCTCCTCTTTTGATATGAAATTTGGATTATTCCCTTGATTCCATGGGCATATCCTTGATCTCCTTCATACCTGATCAATCTCTTTAAAATTCGGTCTTGTTGGTGAGGTGGCATGAATCACGTCTAAACTCATTATTAACAACTCTTTTAGTAAAATCATGAGGACTTGCAAGATAGTAATGATTGATAATAACATTTTGCTGTCAATGTTTTAAGAACTAGGAAGATATCTTGGATTGCTACAATCAAGTGGGTTGTAAAATGATGGTATGGAAAATGTTAGCGGAGTAAATGTTATATACAAAGCATGTGAGTGCCAAATAATCATTTTAGTTCCACGCAATAATATTTGCTATCAAAGCAGTTGTTGTGCTAAAGCAATTAGTAGAGAAGTAAAAAAGCACATCAAAAAGGATTTCCTTATGGCAGTTAATGATCTGTAAAAGGCTTAAGATCGAGTTGCTCAAACTGTTTCATTGATATTAAGAAAAATGAAGTTTGTCAAAGTTATAATTTATTCAAGATGTTCATAATATGGTAGTTATCACCTTTAGTATTTGTAGCGACCAAAGAGCTTCAGCATAATAGGGTAAATGAAGAGTTAGAAAATTGAAAAATATTTAGCAGATAAGGCTTTAAAATTAGTAGAATAATGAAAAAGACGGCCCAGACATTCCCGAAGATAATAATATTTTTCTGAAACTATTCATCTATATTAGGACCCCTCCCCAGTGTCTTTGATACCTTCTTTGGGTGCTATATATTTTGAAGTTTTTTTATGGATGCTTATGATTGCTTATTAAACAGAGTGGGATGTGCTATATTGCTCGGTTCCAACTTCTCCTGGAGGAGGTTATCGGAGTTCTTTTGGCCGTCTTTTTCTCAATGCAAAAGAGATGGTGCAGGTCGTTGAAGCTCCGGATATTGTTCTGAACAAAGTTTCTTTCTCTGTTCTTGGGTTCCTCGATGGAGAAGTTTCCTTGAAAGGTAAAACTTAGTTAACCTCTTCTCTGTTTGGCGTGATTGTTGCTTTCTAAAATTTGGATGAGAAGTTGTGAAAAGCTGTTGTTGCTCGTGCTGTTCATTCTGTTTGGTAGACCTTTGGTCGAGTTACTCTTTCTGAGAATCTTATTATCTATTTGCTATAGCAATATGTGATGCAAAAGTCTAAAAAATCAAAATAACCTCAAGCAATAACATAAAATTATTATAAATAAATAGATAATTTAAGTTTAAGTCTTGGAAAAACATAATATAAATACATCAATGTCTACAAATGCTTCAACAAACTAACATGCATAACGAAATATCAAAGCTCTCTCGATTATATATTTTTGTACCATTTGTAATTACATGGAAGGAGGTAGAAAATTCTAAATCTTACATGAGTAGGTTTAGTTTGAATTCCCATGTAATAACAATAAACTAAGAAAATGTTAAAGGTCTTTTTGTCTCATCTAGAAGACAGGCCATGGATGTGGAAATGCGGAATGTAAAAGGAGATGTGCTGTTGCTTTTCTCGATTTGGATGTATATATTTTGGGATGTAATAATAAACATTGAAAAAATTATGTCGGAATATTTTGATGATTGTCTCGTTTGCGTCAATATTAATGCTATTCAGGATATCATATACATCACTAATTTTAGCTCAAATCAAATGACTTTGAAGCCCATCATAATGCATTATGCATCAAGATATCTAGACAATTTTTTTTTTCATGAACAAAGTGATCCAAATGAGCACAAACTACACATCGAATAAACGAAATCCAAACAAAGCCTAATTTTTTTTTTAACTTTGTTAAAAGCCATATTTAGCCGGAAGACATTTGATCGGGAATTGTAATTTTTTTTGGTATTGTATATTCATGAGGCTTATGTTTAGGCACAATCAGATCACTTAAATTGCACCTATTTCTGTCTAGCTATATCATGGAATGGATGAAGTAGCGTGCAGCTTAAATTGTATTATTGCCATTTTAATGTTCCAAAATATGAATGTTGTTTATTTCTCTTTCACTTTTGAATAAATTTAAGATTAATATTATAGTAATGGAAATTGGTGTCATATGCATGAAGGTATATATCTCATATATGTAGTTTTTTTAGAAAAGAATGTTCGGTTCTTTTCGACTTGTGTGGCGTTTGCCTCCCCGTCGGTACTGACCCCGACAGCCCAAGGGGAATAGCGATCCTACCGACGCTAGTTGATGCATGATTAGCTTCTCGGTGGTTAGTTGACACTGGCCGTCGGTGATACCGTTAAGCGTCTTGCTAGATTAGTGCAGGTTAACTCCTGACCACTTGAAGGCTTGATTGCTGGATGGTGGTTTGTCGGTGCCTGGTGCATGGCTGGTCTGTGTACTTGGCATCTAGGTAGGGCGCTGCACAAGGAATTTTCTTCCAACCTTTATCTGTGTTTAGGAAAACCCCCTACTCACTCTGAAGGCCTAGTGATGCAAACAATTTCATTTTAGTTTTTTATTTTTGTTGAACTATTTTGTAATTTGAATTTTATGTATTTTTCATTTTTTTTTCTACCCTATGATGGAAGGCAACCAATGATCATGCGTAGGTTGTGCTCTTTGACATGTATTGCCTTTGGTGTGCTAGCTTCTTTGGTGTTATGGCTTGTGAGCTGATTTGGATTTTGACCCAAGTTCCTTGGGTTGGTTGTTTCGGGTTTTGCTGCATAGTTTGTGAGATGCTGTGTTCTACTATCTTTTTCAACTCATTATGGCGAACTGCTGTGTTCTGCTGCCTTTTCAGGCTGCTGGCCGGGTTCATCCCCCTCTGTTTTGCCCCTTCGGTTCCTCTGCCTGCCCGGTTCCTTCCCCCTGGCGTTGGCTGTTCGTTGGATGTGTCCCGCTGGCCTTTCGGGTGCTGCTCCATTCGGTTGCCTGTTGGCCTTCTGCCACCCCTTTGCTGATTGGATAGTGTGGGCGGCTGCTTGGGTTGTTTGGCTCCCTCTCCTTTCCTATATATAGTGGCTGTTTTGTGGCTTTTGGAGGCAGTTTTTGGTGAGTGAAGATATCTAAAAATTTGAGGATTTCTTCTTGGATAGCTTGTGAACTATTTCCACCTCTCTTCTCATCTCTTTGATTTCGTCTCGGGCTTCTTACCTACTTCTTCTCTCCACAAGTTTCCACCCCACTTGTATCTTTTTTCTCAAACTTTTGAAGGTGTTGGTTGGCCAGTTTGGTAGCATTTGCCGGAGGAGTTTGTGGTGGACGTTGGTCCAAATTGCTGTGGTGGACCTCTGGTTTGCATGTCTTTGAGCACTTATTTTTTTCCTACTATTTTGATACAAGTGAGGTGACTGCTAATTGGTTGTTCTGAGGGTAGTTTTTTTTTTTTTTGTCTAACTTTTGTTTTGGAGGTGTGTTTGGTGTTGGCCTATTAAAATTTGAGTTGAGAAAAATTCTTCTTTCCTAAGTGTTCTCCTTTTGATCTTTTTTAATCTAGTTGTCTACATCACCTAGCATGTGTCATCCATTCATTTGATAAGTGTCCAACTTTTAGGTATTAGATTTGACTTATATTAAGAAAGGTAGAGGTAGACCTAAAAAGACTTGGTTAGAAAATATTAGAAATGATATTTCTTTATTAGATTTAAATGAGAATTTGACCTTTAACAACACACAATGGAGAAAAATGATTCATGTAGCCGACCCTGCGTAGTGGGATAAAGGCTTTATGTTGATGTTGATGCATGAAGGTATATATTACAAATTATGATTGTAGTGATATAAGTTAGGAATATGAAAATTTTAAAACATAATAATCTAAATGTGTGTGTGTGTGTGAGAGAGAGAGAGAGAGAGAGAGAGAGAGAGAGAGAGAGAGAGAGAGTAAGGGATAATCTAAAATAAAATTTGTGTGAAATAATTTGTATCCAACAAGTAATCTTCTTCACATGTTCCAGTATTGTCTAGTAGGCGTTAAAAAAGCTCAAAAAAAAAAAAAAAAAAAAAAAAAAAAAAAAAAAAAAAGAGAGAGAGCAAGGCATGCCTAATAGTGTATGTTCCAGAAGGACTTCCCAATGTAATAAGCTTCAAGCTAGGGGTGTAACTAAATTAAGTACTCGTGAGTCAAATTTGATGAATTAACAAGTTAAATTTGAACCTAACCAAAACTCAACTCGACAACTTATGATCTAACTCTTTCTAATAAATATTAATATAAACTATATTTAAAAACATATTTTGATTCAATCTCTTATGCATGGAGTTATTAAAAATATTAAAAATCCTATCATTTTTCTTTTTCTCAACTAATTCATGATTATTACTTAGTTTCTCATTCTTTTTGTCATTTCTTATAACAATTATTTGAATTAAAATCATATTTGACTTTTATCATAAATAATATGACCATGAGTCAACTCAAATTCATAGAGCTGAGCTCGAGTTAGACCCTCAGGCTCGAACTCCATTAATTTGTCAAATTTAAGCTCAAGTTAGTGGTAGCTTGAGCTAAACTTGGTTCATTGACACCCATACTAGCATGGAGCATTTAGTTTCCTTTAATTTTGATATTTATGCCATTGCATCTTCTGCAAAATTTTGTACTCTTCCAGGTAAGTTGAAAGTACTTGATGAGAAGTGGATCCAAGTCATTTTTGAACCCCCTGAACTGAAGGTAGGTTCTCTGGGGTTCCGATATGGTGGTGAGAGTGAGGTTAAACTGGAAATCACCTATATTGATGAGAAAATAAGATTAGGCTTGGGATCCAAAGGCTCTCTTTTTGTCTTTCTAAGAAGAGGCCATTAACGCTGTAAGCTCTCTCTCTCCCTCTCTGTGTGTTATTGTTCTTTGTTCAGAATGGTTTCTCTCTTAGAATTTTGGCACATTCGACTGAAACATTGTAGTTTTTATTCTCGGAAAAGAATTAAGTGAGAATATCTCATCAAAGTTTGATCGCAATGAGTTATAAAATATTTAAATATGATTTGAGATGAGTATATTGCAATAGTTGATTGTTCTCTCTTTTCTCAAGGAACATTGCATAGTACATCATTTGGTTAAAGATTTCGGTTTCGTTTGAGACAACTTTTTTATTATTTTCTAAAGTAATTTTATAGCACAAAAAAATTTTATACTTAAAAGCTACTTTAGAAAATAGTAAGAAAGTTGTTGCAAACTAAGGCTTCGTTTGGGACGGCTTTCTTCCTGCTTCTTAAAACTGCTTTATAGTACAAAAATTAAAAAATTTGTACTAAAAAGCCGCTTTAAGAAGCAGTAAGAAAGCCGTCCCAAGTGGGACAGCTTTTTGGCTGCTTTCTAAAACAACTTTATAATACAAAAATTTCTTGAATTAAAATTTTTTTATTAAAAATTTGATTTATAAAGCAATTAGAAAGTTATCGCAAACTAAGCCTAAGCCTTTAAGCTGCAATGCTTTTGGAATCAATTAAATTAAGCTGCAATGCTGTTTGGCCTTCAGGGTGGGCATTTGGCAATAACTAATCCATTATATGAATTTGTGATCTATTGATTAGAGGAGATAATTATATCTTTATGATTATGAATTTGAACGAAAATACTCTACGATTTGTTGCTTATCGTTTATAAAAAATATTTGATTTGCTAAAAAATCTGAATTGCAGCCCTCAACAACAAGTTAGTTTGGGTTGCATATGATTTTATATTTTAATATTTTTCTTACTAATTTTTTTAAATGATTTTTTCAATTATAATTTCTATTTTTACTATTTAAAAAATGATATTTTTAAAATAAATAAGAAAAAAAAAATGTTTCATTCAAATAAATATTATTTTTACTTGCTAATTTTTCTCAAAAATAGTTAAAAACGTACGATACGAAATCATAGTAATATGATAATACTATAATAGAATAAATATAAATGCAAATGCTTAAACATTATATTTTGAGCTGTGGAATGGATATTATAATGCAAGCATTAGACCTTTATTTCTGGTCCTTGATATTTTTGCACGATTTTTAAAGAACTAATTTACCCTGAGGGTTTCATTTCTAATTAATAAAAAGGCAATTTAATAATGTAAAATTGTCGCATATTATTACGACATTTTATTTTTCCTTCGGATAGTTAATAATTAGATGAAATCCAATCAAAAAAATTTACGCATTCAATCTGGTAGGCCGTGGATCGAAATATACAAAAGTGTTTGGCTTATTTTTAGAGAATTTTTTTTTAATAATTGTGTCAAGGTAGCGAATTTTATTAAAATATACATAACAATTATTAATTTCACTTTAAAATTAAAGCAATTTCTGATATATTTTTTTAAGAGTCCTTGGAAGCTAATTAGGTGTGAGTCATTTGGAAAAACTTTCTTACTTTTTTTTTTAAAAAATATATTTTTATATAAAAAATTATTTTAAGAAGTAAAAAAATCGTTCCAAATAAAAAAACTTAAGAATTTATTTGGGGGAAATTATTACGTGCAGAATCTGGACAGGACAACCATCCGATTTACCGAGTATACCCAATAAATGATACAAAAAAAAACTAAATATTTGTATAATATTTGATATTTACTCATTATACTTAATAAAGCAAACGGCTATCCTGATCCAATCCGCTTTTTTAATGTTTCTTAAAATAATTTTCTAGTACAAAAATTAAATCTTTTGCATTAAAAAGCTACTTTAAAAAGAAATAAAAAAGTAGTTTCAAATTAAGCTTAAATCTTAACAGGATTTAAGAATTTGTCTCCAAAAAGATTAGTACTAGAGCCCTACACGGGGTCATGGTTGGGTACCCACGCTCTACGTTAGCGGGCTTTACCCACCTATGGTGCCTTTCGGGATGTCATACCCACCCACTTTTCACGCTTCTTGAATGCAATCTACCACGGATTAATGGCCTTGAGGTTATTTATCATTTTCTCTGATTGCAAACTTTCAAGCCACATATCAAAATTTATCGTGGTCGCGATATGGTTCAATGTTACGCACTGTGTAGTAAGGATTACTGTAATATACTGCATCCACATGAGTAATTAGTAATGTAAATCAATTTGTCTTTTGATGTTGAGTACCCACCCATACCCACCCATAAGGTCATGGGCATACTCATACCCACTCATGCCCATTGGATATGGGTGGATACGTGGGTTGGTGTGGATATAGACGGCTCTGTTTAGTACAAAAGAAGAGATCATATGTTCTCCTTACCCAAACACTCAAATCACTACTTTCTCTCCCAAATCCCAACATCTCAATCCTCACCAGTCACCACCAAACTTCGACTACCAAAGTAAGCCAACTAATGCCCTCTAAGGACTAGTTTAGTCATGTTCTTTTGTACTTTGTTTTTAAAGAAGTTTTGACATATATCATTTATACTAAAAGATTTTCTTAATGACCAACACCTTTATGGAACTTGACTATTTTTAGAGAATAATAATGATTTATTTCATACCAAATAAATAGCACAATAATATTTATTCCAAATGAACAACAATGAGGCCTCTTGAGTTCCAAGGCTCTATTTAAAAAAATAAATGAAAGATACACCCAAAAACAGAATGAACCATAACAAAGGCCTATAGTTGTTGAAACTCTACAAAAATGGGATTAAATTATACATGTTAAAATGGTTGACAAAATTTGCTGTTCTTTTATGCATAACCTCTAATAAGAATAAACATAAATCAACTTAAAGAGGTGAAATAAAAATATAAAAACTAAGATTGGCATCAATTGAAAAGTAAAAAAAAAAAAAAAAAAAGATTGAGGGAGAAAGGCAACTATCATAATAGTAGCTAGCTACCATAATCCTGCTCAATTAACATTCTTGTCTCTTTCTGAATCTGAATTTGAGGAAGTCAAGATGAAGGTCCATGCTTCCAAAAGAATGATGACCACAAGGATTGTTCATAATTCAGTGTAAATAGGAAGCAAATGCAATAGCTTCTTTAGGGTTTCAGGGTAAAATTTACGAGCAAACAAGTAGCATGGTCTCCTCTCTCCATTCCATAGGCAAGGTTTTATCTGCTCTACTTTCTGCAAACGAAAACAAAAAAGTTTCATTTTTACAATAAGTAAAATAATGTACTATTTTTATAATAAGTAGAATTTTTGTGCTAAAAAACTACTTTAAGAAGCAGTAAAAAAAGCCGTCCCAAAGGAAGCCTACACCATTTTAAGGGCAGCCCACTTAATTTCTGTTGTCTTCGTCTCTACTAACTAGCAAAGGCACTAATGCAGAAAACTATCAGACAATAGCTCCAGAGAGGACCTTTCTCGAACATTGAAAGTCAAATCTTAAGATTGCCTTAGTTCAAGTTGAACTAAATTCAACATGCACTCTTTTTGGTGCCTTCTTGGACCACCACAGGTTTCCAAACACTCTAAAGTATTCAAGAGAGCTCCAATGGCCCTTACAATCAAATCCTAGGTCCCTTGGCCTATTTTTTTGGACCAAAATCAACAAATAGCACCAACCTTTTGCATAGGATCACAATCCTAGCATCTCGCATTTGCTTAATCCAAACTAAGCAAATGAAACTTTTATCCTCGAGCTAAAAAGTTTTAGAATCACTCTTTGATTTGTAGTTCTAAAACTACATATCATGTCTCTAAATTTTAATTGCATTTGCTTAGGTCAATTAAGCAAATACCTTCATTTCTATGAAAATTCATGGAATTCCATTATCTCATAGGATAAAAGATATAGGAAATTCTATAACTCTTATAGAAAATCCTAATCTTGTTGCATTTATAGAAACTCAATTTAAGTAAATATCCCAATCATGTTATGTGACACAAAACTACATAATAATCCTCACTCCTTAGCCTCAAAGCTATAGGATATTTTGTGTTTCCTTAACCCCAAAAGCTATCGTAACACTTGTATTGGTTTGCTTGGACTCAAAATCAAGTCATCTTCCAAATTGGGACAAAATTCTAGTAGCCCTCCATGACCACAAATCAACTCGGAGTCCTTTCTTACTGGTTGATCTCAAAAGAAAATGTTATTTGGTCAATTTAAATAAGTAGATGATTTCCCTTAAATCTAAAAGTTTAAGATCTTTTGTTATGCTCTAATTTTCACTGCTATTGTATCAACATGCAGGTATGTGGTTCAAATTTAAAAATCCTGTGGGTAAAGAGGCATTTGACAGCGTAGAACAAACCAATGGAACTATCAACTTAACTCCCACAATTTAGCCTTTTTTGCCTATTTAACTTAGCATACCAATGAAAAATGATGACAATATGAGTTATCGGCAAAAAATAATGGGAAACCGCAACTAACTGGTAGAAATACAACTTGAGGAATGCAAAAAGAAGTTTGTGAGGATTACCTTTTCATCACTTGTGACATGATAATTCTCATCAATAGACTGCAGACAATAAATACAAATGTTAAGCTTATTCAAACTATATTTACAAATTATAATTTGAGCAGAAGGGCTTACTGTAATATTCTTCAAGAGCTCATAGGTGACATCTTTAGCCTGATATGCTTTTGGATGCCATTTTCCTTCAGACCAATCAACATGAGTGACAGACCAATTTGCTATGCCAGCAGGATCAATCATCTAATAGTTACCCAAAGGTTAGTTGCGTAGAGCATACATATGAAATAACCAGAAATTAAACTTATTAAAAGATAAGCCTTTGCCTAAATAGACATACAAAACTACACGTGATACCTAGAAAAAGAGTTAAAGGTCTTATGAGATTACATAGAACAGGGTTGGCAAATAATGTTCATCGGCATAGCAATTGCGTCCTTCCATGCCAGGCTGTGAAAAACGACAAACAGGCACCAAGATTAGTTCATTTATGCAAGATTTAGCTTCCCAGCAGTAGTTGCTTTCTACTCAAGTTCTTAAATTGGGGAAGAGAGGGGATCTCCTACAGCCAACATGCAAATTGGAAGGTACTGGCTAAAACAAGCTGGCATATATATTATGCAATTTTTATAAGACTCCAAACTAAGGAATATCAATCCAACCAAGCCACCATAAAATTACAAAAAATGGTAGGTCTAAGCCTAAGCTGATGTATTGAGTCACGTCCATAGAGTGAACTTCTCCATCATGGAGAATTACAGATCCAATTTCAAAAACAGTGATCGGCAAGGAAGAATATTGAACAACACCGAACCATGAAATGGGAACCAGATTATCACTAAATTCCAGTTAAGTAAGATTATAGTTTGGAAACATTTTTCATCGTTTGCATAAGACACAAGCAAAAAAAGTCACTCCACAGAAAATGACACTCACAAAAGAAATATAGATGCAAGGATACTTTTAAAAGTTTTTAAAGAAGTTTTCTAAGTGTTTATACTTCAATTACAAATAACGTTGAAGAATTTAGAACAATGAGACAATCACTTTAAAAGTATGAAAATTCAATAGATGGTGCACTTTCGATATTGATGGATCTATCTAAATGTATACCACATATGCTTCAAATGTTTCTGACTTATTAAATTCAGAAGTTGCATAGACTTTGAAAGCTTAGCTTGTTTTGGAGAGAAGTCGCAAGGGGGATTCAAAATATATTGCCATATTATTAAGCCAAGAGAGGGACAATTGTTAGAATAGTGCGTCAACAACAGTCAAAATAAGAACAATTAAGGTATGTGGCTTTAAGATAAATAAAAAGTAACATTTTTATTCTTAGATGAAAACGTAAAAAATATGCTACAATTTGTGTTATTTAAAGCATATTTTATATAAATTTCCTACTTAAATTTTTAATAAATAGGAGATGGGAGACATTCAACGGGATTATGCAAGTGCTTATGTTCCATAGGCAGTTGAAAAAGAAAAAAAGAAGAAGATAATAAGAGAGAGAATGGGCATCTTTAAGGAGATATTTAGGAATGATTTAGATGGCATTGCTTATTATCTCTCGTGTGATTCTTATACTTCTACAAGATATTGAGAGATTTTATATTGTGTTTGATTTCAAAGATTTGGAGCTTTTCTTTTACAGTGAGATTGAATTTGGGAGAGAGCATTTTCCCTTGCACATTTACTTGTAAACATGTCTTTTTACTAGCAGAACAATTCCTCTCTCCTCTTCGGAGGAAGAAAGCAATTATTTAAGCCAAACCACATTAATCTTGAATCTTCTTGTGGTGCTTAATTTCTTTGTTATTACTTCATTACTCATCTTATTCCTTCCTAAAAAGTTCTTCCACATGTAAAGATGAATGCTTTTCCTAACACCACTTAGTCCCTCCACCCAACCACACCACATCCATCCCTGCAACCACATAACCATGAGACCCCTCTTCCCTGTATCAAACTAAGCAGCTCCTCTCAGCTTCCATTTTACAGGTTCATTCACCTCTAACCACACAAGTCCCCCACCCCCACCTCCACCAACCGCTTTATTTGGATTGATTTAATTGTAGGATTCTTTTCTTAAATGTCTCTGAAAATAAATCTCTAATTAAAACCTTTCTTAAAATTCCTACACTAGATCATTCGAAGTGCTCCTGTGTAGCATTCTTCATGTTCTTGTCCCCATTTCTTGCCCAATCTTGCAGATCAATCTTTTCCTAATCATTAACTGAAAGCTCTATCCTAATTAGTCCACCCACCCAATCTAGCTAATCAATGACGAGAAAAATACCAATTGGACACAATCAGCGCCTAGCTATAACAGCAATCTTTTCATTCCAAAAACAACGTAGCTCTCTAGCCTTCTCCCATTGGAGTGACCTCTAATTGGAGTGGTCGGTTGCTTCAGCCCCTCATGGAGTTTGGTGCCCAATAATCCCTCTCTTGCCAATCCCTATTTTGTGTGTTTGTGCATTCTATTGTTCATGCCTCTGTAAAATGATCTAATAGCCCTTGTTCATATCTTGCATATGCCTATAGCTGCATGTAGATATCGAGTAAAAAAAAAGTCACGAATATTTCTATCATGGTTACTTTATTGGCTAATTTATGACAACAAAACCTGAGCTTTTTTATTACGATTTTATTTGACTGCATAAAAAATGAATACTGCTTTTGTTCTATGTACCTACCTATTTTCAAACATAATTAACCACTTCTGAGAAGGCAAACTCTTAAAATTACCTTGCAATAAAGCTTGAATTTTGTGTAATACAAGTTATCTGCCAAGATTAACAAAGCATGCTGCCTCTTCACTGAGAACCACTGCAAATGAGTATAATGCATTGCACTTAGTATATAAATAATTGGAACTTCTCACGCACATCAAAAGAAAGCTCCTTTTCAAAAATACTTGCAAGAATGAAAAAAATCTAAGTAGCAATGCAGGCAATGTCCTGTTTATCAAAAGCAATGAATATTAAGTAGACATTGAGTTAAGTACAAAGAACAAGAGTGGGAGCAACAAAGTGCATCATAGATTACCTTAAAACTATGATAGGGGCCTTGGCTCCTAGTACTGCTATATTTAGAGAAATATTTCTCTTAGATCTCTGTTTTGTTTTGTTTTTTTTTTTTTGCGATTCGAAAATCCTCGGTATGAAAATATTATGAAAGGCTAGATTCGAATCCAACGGCTTGTCATAAAATTTGTTAATAAAATTAAGCCTGATCTCCGAAAGATTTGTTTCTTAAAATCCTATCTACATTAGTTATTTGAGAAGCAAATGCGATCTCGACTAAAAAAATAAGATACATGACATTACTCAAAAAAATAAGAATGCAAGGAGAATAGAAAACTTGCAGTTGGGATCTCTCGACGGGACTTGAGAAGAAATTGTTCATCTTACACATGAGAATGCTAAGAAGAATGACTCATCATAAATTCTTAGTCACAAATTTTAATGGAAGCTGGACAAGGCATTAGCCATGCATGTCAATTATAAATCTCTGAGTCCCTATCATTCATATTTAATTTTTTATTGAAATGATTAATATTGTAGTGTGGGAATAAAACTCTGGCTCTTCATTGCCATTGTACCGTTAGTACTAAATCAATTATAGGTTGGGAAGCAGAAAAAAAATAGATATCTAAGATAACAATGATATCAGCTTCGTGCAAGTTTGCCCCAATTTAGGGTACCATTACTCTAACAGAATACTGAGAATCACTTCTACCACGGATATTAATATCAGCTTCAGTTCTTGGGCTACCCAATATGCACAGACCCCATAATTTGAACTTCACTGATTTGTGGAAAAGGAATTTTTACACTCTTACACACCTATGGCAGTTACTGTAATGTCCTTTGTTGTGATCTCTTAGTATTTTGCGGCATTCAGTATTTTTTTTTTTAAGTTTGTAATACCATTCCTTTAATAATGGACCCTATAGCTGAAAAAATGAACATACCTGTGCACCCTTCCTGAAGCTGTTCTCCTCAACCTCAGGCATCATGTGTGTAGAATACCTGCCTGTTCCCAGTGGTCCAGGATCTTCAAAACTGGAAAAATAGATATTTCAGTAAGAAAAGGTAAAGAAACCAAAGCTTAATAATGGGTGAATAATGCCTGAAGAATCTTGTTATGATAATGAATATGCCTAATTGTCAGTAAAAAGTCAAAGGACACGTTTCAATTTCTTGAAATAATTTGCTCTTGAACTTACCAGTCAATAAAGCTCACATTAGTCAACATTAGATAATTGTACACATAATCGAAACTATGCAATGGAATGCAGCTGCAGCAAAAAAGGAAAAAAAAAAGATTAAAAATGTGTTGTGAAGTATGATGAAGCATGGTAGATGCACTACAGAACTAATGTACTTCAAAATAATCACCTGTCTGAAAGTAACACAAATTGTTGATTATCTATGTCTTGCAAAGCATTTGCCAAAAGTCTTTTCTCAGCATCAACCATAGAAATTTTTCCCCAAACCACCTGCATATATGTTGCATGTTTTATGGGTTTGTCTCTTCCAAATCTCTTTCCACAAGTAGCAAGACAAACTTCAATTGTAGCTTGGAAAAAAAATCACTAAATAGATCTTGAAACATTCAATTAGTTGAATGAATCAAACATCAATGGACATAAACTTAATAGCATTCTTTTAAGAATAAAGTTATTCCATGTGTTGAGGAAATGCTTATCAATGACAAGCAAGAATTAAGTGTCATAAACGTCTGGAAATGAAGATATCAGTCCAAGTACCAAAAATAGTGCTAGGATAGACACAAAGAACCTTTTTTTTTTTTTTTTGAAACTTCAATAACTTGATCGTAATGTTAACAAATAATGATTCAAGGCTCTCCTTATACTACTTTAGATATTGCTATTATTAGCCCTGCCTCTTCCTTAAGTGTCTCTGTCACAAACAATGAAAGAGAGAAAATGGTGCCAGTAACCAATAAAATAGTACAAGTACGATGCAACTATCCAAACCATGCAAAGACTGTCTTATAACCACTCCTTAATGACCCAAGCATTATTTGGAATATCAACTCTAGCATAGTATAGCTTCTAAGAAGAAGCATGATATATTCTCACTTCAAATGATGTTCATAAATAAAATGCACCGAGTAATTTCCATTTACGTGCAAATAAATATCCTTGATTCATCAACTGCGCGAATATCATTATGGAAGTCACTCAACATGCCCACATGTCAGCTTACATGGAATCAACTCTCACTGTTTTTGCTCATTAGGTATATCCAATTAATCCATTGTTAGTGCCACCACAAGAACAATTTTAGACAACAGTTATTAAATTAGTAAATGGAATAAACACACCACTATAACAATTCTGGGTTTCAAAATCTGAATGACCCTAATTTGTCAGCCTGGCATGCAATCCCAAAAGGTCCACGCTGACCCTTCTAGGACTGATCAGGAGCTGAGAAGCAAACACAATGCCAAAAGCTCCTTCATATCACCAAAGGTAGAAATAAAGCCCTTATAGAAAATTCTAGCATCCAATCCAAGCCAACAAATCCATTTGAAGTTGCAGAACAATAGACTTATAGGAAGCTACAAATCCACACGCAACTTTCTGGGCTCTAACAATCCTGACTCAACTCTGTTGATATATTCAAGTTTTTTGGTTGGCTTTCAGAAGAATGAGTGGATACCAGATAAGCCGTTATCCACAAATTTTTCCCGCTTTGAAAGGACTTTATGGACAAAATTAAGATTGCTTAGGCACAAGCCCTATGGTTAATTACCAATCTCGATTATGAGAAGAACTTTCAATTGAGGCAAGTTTAAGTCATTATGATGCATTATCTTTGTAGTGGAACTATGGATTGTAGAAAATAATATAGTGCTACTAACCCAAAACATATGGGGGAATGACAATAAACTCACTGAAGATTATATGGTTTCATCATTATGAATTTTCATAGACTCATTTTCTGCTTAGGCATTGGAATTAGTTGACCTAACACGATCCTTCTCAACAATCATGAGCTATGTCGTCTATGGGGAGCTTGTAGAACTAAGATGAATGCTTGTCGAAAGGCCAATTTTAAGCCGAACTTGACTAACATAGGGCTTCATGCCCTATTAGATGTGAATTCTGTCTCACAACTTATAGACTTAACTATTTTGTTACATCCAGGCTTAGGTCATAATCATAATATAGTGGTGTCATCACAATAGGGCTACCCACATAGTTAGAATTACATATCGCATCCATGTTAGTGTGGAATTTTTAGTGTAATCATATGATTATACTTGATATGTCATTAACCCTTTATGAGCTTTAGTTAAACTCAAGTCATATTTGGCAAATTGGTGTAGAAGATGGATGGGCTTTAAGTATAAAGCAGACGATTATTACTTGACTTTTTTTTGTACATTTATTATATATTTTATATTTTTTGTAGGTGAACTTAGGTTAGACAGACTTCCCTTTGATTATGATCATGCTTTGAATATGCCATTATTGGAAAAAGGACCCAATTGCCAAAAGAGAAGTCTTGAAATTTAAGTGCACAATTATGGGATGCCTTTTGATTATGAATAGAGATAATCAAACCAATCATAGTGGAGTGTAGAAGCCTCAGGACATGCAGAGGATCATTATGTTTAGATTATCTTTTGCGATATAGGATGGTAATGACAATAGTTTGCCAATCTAGGGAAAGGTACGCATTTATTTATACACGAAGATTATTGTGCCACAAAACTTATCAACTATCATTTACTCACAAAGGATAAGATTAATAAATTGTCAAGTTATGAACCTTATCAACTTTGTCTACTCATTCATGGAGAATCGGGCTTACAAGAATTGATAAGTATACTATATTTAAATTAAATCTCAAATATTAAATTATAACATGGATTGCATTGCAGATTCGGACTTGCATCCCAAAGACTTGAGGAAAACAATAAAGTTGGGACTTATGAACCAACTCTATAGGCGAGGCAACTCGATTGTACATTTACTTTAATTTGTATATGATAATTCAGGTGCCCTACTAACTTTATTCGTTTGCTTATCTGCAGATGATCATGCCCAGGAGTTGAATTCCATGCTACAAGGCAATAGAACCCTCTTTTAAAATTTTAAGGAAATTTCATGGGGGAGGGGGGCATTGCGCTTCTAAATTTTTAGAACTAAAATGGGTCATACGCCTCACAATGAGAGTAAGAATATTATAGAATGCACAAATATTTTTATAATTTTCTCAAATTTCTTTTTTCTTTCTATTCTTAATTTTTTTAATTTAATATCTTTTTTTCAAATGCTTCAAATTATTAAGAGTATGTCTTGTCCTCTTGATTCTCCAAAACACACGACCATATAATGCACTAAGTTATTTGAATTGGGTAAAGTTTGCATGCTTTTTAAGACGATTTGCACAACTTTTTGGTGAGCGAACTAATTTAAGTCCAACTTTTCTCTAAGAGCATGCATAGCACTAAATTACTCAAATTTCAACTTTCTGATCCTTGTTGGCAATTACTCAAACCCTATAACGATACATGACATAATCTAAATCATGAACAATTTTCAGCTTTTCACTCAGCCATATAACATAAATGTTGACTATTATTCTCATAGAATTAGGGCATCGATTGCATCCACAGCTTTATATATTACACACACACACACAGAGAGAGAGAGAGAGAGAGAGAGAGAGAGAGAGAGAGAGAGAGAGAGAGAGGATACGGTTTGCATACCTTCGCACTACGAATGTCGCGTCCAATGAAAATGGGGCTGATGTGTACTGATTTTTCTCTCGACGCATGTACATAAATAGAGTATTTACCCTCATGGCCCTGTCAGATATGTATTGGAGAAGTAAAATGAAATAAAGTCTGGGAGCAGCAAACATTTTAGTAACTCAAACAATAAGAAAATAAAACATTTAGCTAACAGGCATTCTGCTTATTGCAAAATTCAATAAGCAAACAACAAGAAGTTAAACAATTAGTAGTGCTGTTCAATTATTCCCTATATGCTAAAGAAATACGTTTTTACATATCAGATAATTCCTTCAGGTTTCTTGGTATCCCTATCAGTTTGTAGCATCATTTCAATTAAACAAGAAGTCAGACCACATTTTTAAACAGAGAACTGTAAAACCTAATGCTTTCCAACAAACAAAGTTTTGGAGTGTTTTATAGTAATAGGCTCTTCTAGCCTTAGGTTATTATGAGCTTGGAGTCATTCAGATTTAACAGAGTAATAAGCAAAACAATTACATAGGCTTTGTTTGGGACGGCTTTTTTACTGCTTCTTAAAACGGCTTTCTAGTAAAAAAAAAGTCTCTTTAAGAAACAATAAAAAAGATGTCCCAAATGAAGCCATAATAATGAAAGTGCAGAAAGTCCCACCTCAAAAAATTTCTCCCATAGCTTTTCAAAAGGCAATGAACCTGGAGTTAAAAACAAGAAAGCAACTTTAGGAATGTTCACTTTGGCAAGTGGCATGGACAGGATGTCTTTGAAAACGACCCGAGAAGCAATCTCTTCATCAGTAAGCACACGGGGGTTTATTGGAGGAAGCCAATCCTTGAACGGGCTACAAACGCTTGAGGCAAAGAAATAACAGTTGGAGTAACTCTGAGGTGGATAGATGTAAGCCACAATCAATGAGAAACACACCAGGGACACCAAGACAATAATCCATATTGGCCTTCCTGATGCTGCTCTGGAGCGCAAGACCGGCATTCTTTGCTTGTACCAAATGGCTACCTCCAAGGCTTTATGTACTTTCCTCCACAGAGCCTTACTACATTGACTTTACAATTGATATGCAAAATCCCTTCTTTCCAACCTGTAGAGCTGCCATGCTTGCAAATAAGAAGCATTTCTTTGCATCGAAAAATACACTTCTCATCACAATTTTGTCACTAGGCAATGTGCAGGATAACTGTCAAATTTGAACAAAGAAACAAAACAAATTCTCAAACGCTAACAAAGACTTTCCATTCAATATAGCGAGAAAAGGGGGCTTTTAAATGGAAACCTCTACTGGAGGATTGTTATCTAAAAGGCAATACATTAATGACGCGAAATCAATTAAACAATACAAATAATGGGAATATTTTTCTTTCCGAAAATTGCAAGCAAAACAACATGAAAATATCCATCGACCTTTGTCTCATCTGTTGTCTTCCCTGTCCTTTGCTTTCCCAATCAAACTATAATAAATGATTATCAAACGCCGCGGACAAACAGCCTAAATAAGAAGCCCGCCATAACCTGCAAGCTAATAAATACCCAACAATAATAAAACAAAATGCCGTCTCCTCCTCCTCCTCCTCCTCAAAATCAATGCATAATTTCCGGCCACCGAGACTACAAATATGTAACTACGAAAAACATTCAACCTCGTCCAATCATTCCCAGCTTCAGCGAAGCAAAGAAAGAACCTGTAAACATGCGGGCCGGCAGGAAAGCTCCGGATCAGCGGGAATCCCGCCGTCTCCAGCCATCCCGAGCTAACGGCGGCTAAAACAGTTGGAGAGAGAGAGAGAGAGATAGAACATGTGGTAATTGTTCGGTACCTTGGAAGCGCCGGCGAGGCAGAGGGCGATGTCGCCGACGGAGATAGCCGGATCGCTAGATCTGGTAGGTGGACGGCGAGGAGACAGTGAATGAAAGCGAAAGTATGAAATTAAAATACGACCGGAGTTGAGGAACAGAAAGAGTTCGAAGGATTATTAATTTAATCTATATGAATTTATACGTATATAAATACAAATTGTAACATTCGATATTTTTTTTTTTTTGGCTTTGTTTTTTTGGTAATTTTTAATTATATTCCTCGTTATTTTGTCTCTGTTGGTGGCTCTCCCGCTTTCTCGGAGATATCTAAAACTTATAATTAATCATATATTATTTTAATATTAAATTATTATATAAATAATTTACTTGCTATTGGAGTGAAGAACATGATAAGAAGAAAAGCATTTACATTGATGGGTCATTATTGATACATCATCAAAAAAAGTATCTTGATCGAGCATGAATCTCGAGGCAAAATCAAGTTGTAAACTTTTAAAATTATAATTGGGACCATTCGAACTCCGGTTTTGCAAACTTATAGTCAAACTGAACGTCTCATAAATATGAACCAACGACACCAAATTCGACTCAATCTGAGCCCAAATGGGTTCAAATCAAGGACCCGAAGTACTATTGAAAGGTTCAAATCACAATTTGGGTTACCAAACGGTTTTCAGACGTGACATGCTTATAGTCGAATCGAGCGGCTCAACGAGTCAAATCCAAAGAGACCAACAACACGGAATTACGACATCATTAAGACCTTCAAATGTCTATGAATGGTCTATGATCAAGTGATTCAACATCGATCGTCCATCCAAACCACTCTCCATTTACCCTTGATTTTCCTCCTATTTATGGGTCATGCCACTCCTATAAATAGACCCCTCATTCCTCTTGAAAAGGGACCTTAAGCATAAGGAAAAAAGACATAGATCGGAGATCGCTCTTGCCTCCTTGCCTCCCTGACCACCGCTTAGAGTTCCGTCGGACCACCACTTTGTTGTGAATCTATTTTAATGGTTTATGATTTTGATGATAACAAACACTCTTATTTCTCTACGACTACCTTATCTACTGACATTTCAGGTTCACACTATTGGACTGCAATTTGGAACCAGCTCAAGATTGGGAGGTCTGAGTCAATTTGTAGCACTTTTTCTTTCTTGAGTCTATTGTATGTGGTGTGGATCCTGATGCTTTGTAACTTGGAAGATTCTCTAATTGTTCCCTAATGTTTGCTATTTTTTGTAACATTGTTCAGGACGATTGGACGATCGGTTCAAAAGCAGAAATCCGAATTATGACATTCTCATTAAAGCAGCCGTCATTATGAAAATAACATCATCCTGGACGATTTTGTATCAGCCGGGATGATAGGCTCGAAAATGAAAGAATCTGTCGCCAGATCTATTTAGGAATTACTTATTTTTGGACATCGTCCAGAGGGTCGTCCAGGACTATTAAATATCGTCCAGGACGATCTAAGATATTTTTCCAAAATTTCTCTGGAATTTAAGGAAAGTAATTATGACTTGATTGCACAATCAAATCGTCCTGGACGATCGCAAAATCATTCAGGCCGATACGCTGGACGATTGGACATCAGACAGCTGTTTTTCAGTGTAATGTTCAGGATGATATTCCATGAGTTGTTCTGATCATCCAGGACGAGATGATATGAACAAAATTCTTTTGATCGTCTCAAATCGTCCCAGCTGATTGGGCTTAATTTGCACTAATCGTACAGGACGATATTAGTATCGTCCTGGACGTTATTAGTATCGTCCTGGACGATATAGTCAGCAACTTGCATTAATGAGCTTGTTTTGAGATCTTTTACTTAAGCTATGACATAACACTTGATAAGTGTCTTTGGCCGCCATTATAGCTTCGTTCTTTTGGGGAAAACTTGAAGAGAGAGCTTGAAAGAGAGTGAGGAAAGGGTGGAGTTTGAGAGAAGGAGAAGATCCATTGAGGGGGGACTCAAGGGAGTGTGGAGGGGGTTCCACACGGTTGCTCCGGCAAGCTCACACTTGAATACCGTTGGATTCAAGGCTTGTCTCGAGGGAAGTTCACCAAAGAAGAAGATCTCTTTGGTGTCAAAGGACCGGGCGGCTCCGCCGCACCGGGGAAAGTGGAAGTGATTTTGTAAGGGCTTCTCCGCCTAGCTGTGGGGGCTAAATGAGAGACACTTAGTTTAGTGTAATACTTGGAGGGTGCCTCCAAGGAGTAGACGTAGGTCAAGGTTTGACCGAACCACTATAAATCTGGTGTGTTCTTTTCTTTATTACTTCCGCATTTAATTTTCGCATTTGGTTTTCTTTGTGGTGATATTGGTTTTGATTTATGTTTTGATTGAAAGATATTTTTTACCAATTCACCTCTCTCTCTTAATTAGCTTTGGGCCAGTTCATAGGGCCTAACATCCCTGACGATCTTTCAAGTGGTATCAGAGCGGTATTCATAAGATCTAGTTTTTAAAAGCTTTTGAATTTTGATCCATGACTAATTTTTTAAATCATAATATTGCGGAAGGTTATTCAATCACCAGACCACCTTTGTTTGAAAATATTACATATGATTTTTGAAAAATTCGCATGTCTATTTTTTTTGCAATCGATTGATTTTTGTATGTGGAATATGATTTTAACTGATTATTCATCAACGTTACGTATTTTATATGGAATTAAAACTGACATTTCTTTTAGTCAATGGAATAGAGATGAACAAATCGATGCTCAACTAAATGTAAAATCTTTAAATTATTTTTTCTGTGCTTTAATTTTTGAAGATTTTATGTTAGTATCCACGTGCACTACTGGTAAGAAAATTTGGGATAAACTACACACCATATACGAAAGCACTAGTGAAATCAAGCAATCCAAGTTGAATATATTAATGCATGATTATGAACTATTTTCCATGAAACCTTATGAGAAAATCTTATAGATGTATACTAGGTTTATCTAAATTGTAACATCATTGCATGATTTAGGAAAAGAATTTTCAAATTTTAAAAAAGTTTACAAAATTCTTTGGTGTCTACTAAATAAGTTTGATGCTAAAGTAATTGTTATTTGTGAATTAAAAGATTTGAATGAATATTCTATTAAAATTTTGATTGGCTCACTCATTGCCTACGAGCAAAGTTTGGGTCAAAGACTTGTGGATGCAGATGAAATGATTGTTATAAAAGTTGAAGATACAAAAATATATAGCTTAGTTGGTGACGAATGCAATGACTTATCAAGCAAATCAAAAAGCTCACCAAAGCATAAGCATCAATAAAAGTGGAACAAAGGTAAAAATGGTAATGATGTTAATATTTCTCCTAACGTTATTTGCTTTCGTTATAGGAAGCCTAATCATATGAAAAATCAGTGCCCTAATTTAAGAATTCTTCCAGTAAAAGAAAAGAGTAATGTGAAGCAAATTTTAAACTGGGGAGATAATGAAAAACAAAAAATCTCCTGGGCAGACTTGGTTTCTGAAGCATCGGACCAGGAGAAAGATAATGGTTAAAAGCCTTGTTTGTGTGTTTGTGTTGTGTTTTGTTTTTAGTTATTTTATTTTTTTATTTATTTGTTTTGTTTTGATTTTTATTTTATATTTTATATTTTTGTTTATTCTTTGAATTTTTTTTTGTTTCGTGAAATTTTTTCTCTGATCATTATATACATTCACTTTTCTAAAAATGAAAAATCTACTTTCTATTTTTTCTTGAAATCTTTGGTAAGTTGTGATTGACCTCTAAAAACAGTCAAAGGAATGAAACTCATATTTTTGACTATCAATCTCTATTTTCTAAAAGAGGTTATTCTACTTTTGATTTAAAATCATTTTCATATTTTAAATTAGTCTTTGAAACTAAAATTTTTTATCTCCATACATTTTATTTATCGCATAGAGATCTTTTGCAAGTTATTAAATCTAACTCATAATTTTCTTAATCAAGAATTCTCTTTATCAATAGGATGGATTTACTTTTGTTTTTAATATTTCAGAAATGTAGCATATTAAAAAAAACGGTCAATGATGTCAAAAATAAAAGATGCGCAAAGACGCAAATTTAAAAATATACACAAAAGTGTATCAAAAATCAAAAGATGCACAAAGAGCACCATTCAAATTGACAAGAGGCATAAAATGAGCCCACAAAATTTAATGCTTACCATTCTTATATTTCTTAAAAGCTTAAGAAAACGCTTGATACTTTTGATACTTGATTTTGAAAAACATGATTCCTGATTCAATAATTCGTGCATTAATCTTCTATTATATATATTTTATGAAATAAGTTTTAAAAAATTAGTGTTTCTTTTTCTAATTTATTCCATGATTTAGATATTGAATTAAAAAGTTTTTGAGCCTTTTTAAAGAACTTGAGTTTGGATTATCAAATTCTGAATTTCTAACATTTTCTGGGCTATACGTTGTCAATACAATTCTACTAAGTTTTCGATTAAAATCAAGATGTAACTTTCTCATTTTAAGAATATTTGTTTTGTTCACTATATGAGAGATCATTTTGTCTTTAAATCATTTTGTTTGTACCCATTCTCTTTTTGATAATATCAAAGGGGGAGAATGTATTGTTGAATTTGTATCATTTATTATTTTTTCTTTCTTTAAAAAAATTAAAAAACAATAAATTTTTTTATCTCCCATATTTTTAAAGTTTTATTCTAGTGAGGGGGAGATTAGGAGAAAATATTTTCCTATTTACAAATTCAAATTGATTTGTCATCATCAAAAAGGGGGAGATTATTGCGGATCTATTTTAATGGTTTATTATTTTGATGATAACAAACACTCTTATTTCTCTACGACTGTCTTATCTACTAACATTTCAGGTTCACACTATCGGACTGCAATTTGGAACCATCTCAAGATTGGGTAGACTAGGTCTGAGTCAATTTGTAACCCTTTTCCTTTCTTGAGTCTATTGTATGTGGTGTGACTCCTGATACTTTGTAACTTGGAAGATTCTCTGATTGTTCCCTAATGTTTATTATTTTTTGTAACATCGTCCATGATGATTTTATATCGTCCTGGACCATCGGTTCAAAAGCAGAAACCCTAATTAGGGCATCCTCATTAAAGCAGCCGTCATTATGCAAATAACATCGTCCTGAACGATTTTGTAACGGCCGGGG